AGTTTTATATAGTTATCGCAATTCTGTTTTATGTCACTTCACCATCTTTCTTCTTATGGAAGCTAAACTTGCAATTCATATATTCTATCCTTCCTTTATCATCGCGAAAAGTTTACTGTCTAGAGTACTTCATAATTCCTGCTATTCATTGACTTCCTCAGTAGTTTCGTCAATTAACAAATTACATCTACTAACTACCCGTTAGCTCATCTGTAACTAAAGTAAGCAAACACATGCTCAAAGTAGGTTTTAGGTGATTGGACTGTGATTGCAAAGGATATTTCTTACAGTTAAGCTGAATAAATACTCTTCATCAACCAAAAAAAAAAAAGTTGAATAAATGATATAATGCTCTTAGTAGGTTGAGGTACAAAAGTGAAGTCCTAAACTGATCTTGGCTGATTGCCCCTAATAGGGGAGAATGAAGTCTCTAATTGTCATGTGTATCATGTGGTGTTTTGAGAAAGGGTGATATATGAAGAATATCAACTTTTTTTAGTCGGAAGCTTCTCATATGATATGGTAAAGAAAACAGTTAACTGATTTCTGAATTGCTGCATTTGAGGGAGGCAAGAAAACATAGTTTGGCAGGTCTTCTGAATCTTGTGATGAGATATATGTCTAGAGATTATCTAAAGATCTTCATTTATGATGTTGGGAAAGCTGAAATAAAAGAGCTGTCATTTGTACAAAGCTGTTTTTGTCTCCATGAGAAAATTGTACTCAGATTATCTCTTTACTGTTCTTTATAATGGATGAGAAAGACGCAAAATGGTGACACCTTACCATTGATTGAGCTTATGGGGACCATCTAAGTGAAATGATCTGATTTACATAGTCATCTATTGGTTGACATGGGCAGGTGAATAGGCCAAAAAAGGTTTAATTTAACTAATGAAAAAGAAAACTATGAGTCAGCTTAGTGAATTCCTCTCTTTGGTTCCTATTAGAACGCAAACTATTCAGAATTGTTTTTGGTAACTGCCTTGATATGATCTTGTATCATTAACTTTTGTCTAGAGAGTGTTTTTGTGATACACGAGAACCAAGATAGAGCCATACTTTATCTAAAAAATAATCAAGATTCCACTATGATGGCCGGGGAACCGAGATAGAGCCATGAGCTAGAAATCATGGAAACCTACTTTTGGGCTACATGTTTCCGTACAAATATGGACACCAATCAAACACTACCGGGACATGCTTAAGACTAAATTTTATGAATTTGATAAATCTTGTAATCCATCTAGGACATATCACTGTACCAAAAACACAAATTATTTAACATACAAAAATCCTAAATCATTCATCCGTATCCTTGAATAACATACAGGAATCCATATATGCCTTTATTCTAGAACGCCTAATTGATATTGAACAGGAGGAAGCAATTCCTGATCCCTAGCTACAAATTAAAAGTAAATTTTCCTTAGATTTTTGAACCCACCAATGAAACTTGGAATGATCCTTTTCATGCTATTTCAGCAAGATGTCGCGAGTTGGAGACCTATCTGATGACTAAGTCTGGTATTTAAGTGGAGAAGGTTTGAGGGACAAGCAATTATCCACAGAGTTTCGAAGCTGGATTTGTCCGTTTTCAAATATAAATTCTTTTAACAGCAAAGATTCTGAGTTTAATATGCTCCTCACAGGCTATTGAAACCCATGTTGAGAAGCCTCCATTTCCACAAGCCCTTTAACTCAGATTGTAACTTTTGTGGACCCAACAAGTTAATTCCTTTCCAGAACCAGAATTCAGCTTTCTCCACATCCCAAATATACACAAGGAAGTTTTGACCGCCATTTCATTACACTAATAGAACCCTATGTTCAATCAGGCTTTTACAGCTGCATTTCGGCTATATGGCTTTCCCATTCTTTAGCTTCTTCATCTGACATTTGGCTTTGATCATACGGGAGCTGCTTAAGTTGTTTAAAATCACTTCTATTCCTCAATAACTTTCATCTGCTTTTCAATAACAACCCTCTGTTTGGTACTTTGGCTACATTTGTCGATTCAGTGATGTGTTGGTTAAAAAGGAATAAAAAGAAATGGATGAGAAGAAGAGCGAGAATAGGGAAAATTAGATAAAAATGGAGAATATAATCGGGGCGTCTGAGAGAAATTTTATACTGCAAGGGTATCTGATTTGACATGTTTGCCCTACTCTCAATATAAGGGTCTTCAGAGAGCTTTAATCTTCAGCATACTTAATTCTTCTGGCATGCTTGTGCTGGAAAAAGTTGTTCTACTTTGCCATCCTTTATGAGGGGTAAATGATCTTTATGTTGAATAGGACAAGTTTTGGCGAGTTCTTTCTCTTCTTTAAAATTTAGTTTAATTTAGGAAAATTCAGTACTTTTTATGTGCAAAAACAAGAGATGCTGATTTTCTTGCAGACTTTATTCCCTTTTTTCTTTGGTCAAAAATCTTGCTTCACTTAACTCTCTTTCATAATTTCATACCACAGATCATCGATGTAGCTACTTCCCTTGCAAAAGTTGCTGATGTTGATCGGAATCTTGGGAATGAGGATGCAGCAATCGATGGATTTGAAGAAGCCATAAAAATGTTACAGTCGCTAGAACTAAATCCTGAAGAAGTTAGCCTTGAACAAAGGGTATCACTCATTTCTTCTTCATTTAATCCTTTTCGCGTTCGCTTTGAAACCCCGCTTTGAATATAGTCAGCGAAATGATTGTGCTGTTTCTCTGCTTGCTTGCAGCGGCTGTCTGTCCTCCAGTTCCTGAACAGCCAGATGGAAAAGAAACAAGCTGTTTCAAGTGCCTGAATTAAGTCTTTTTCCAATATATCATCAAGGATAAACTGCTTGTGCTTTTGCTTGTTAACTTTCCTGCTACTTTAAAGTCTATATATATATATATATTGCAACTTTAGTTTAGAGGCAATCTCAGATACATTTCATCAGTGTGTAAATGCATCTTAAGTGATACGTTCCGACAGATTCCCAACTGCTATACCAGTGGCAAGTCAATTACAGTTTTCAATACCCCATATCACAATATCGATGGACTATCGTTTTCTCTTCTTTTGTTTTTTAAATAAAATTTTTGGAGCAAATATTGATTCTTTCAGTTTCAGTAGTTAAATCTGGTGGTGCCTTGAGCTACTTGTAGCTAAATGGACAATTAGAATAAACTTTATTCTAAAAATCAAGTTCTAGTTAAATTGTCTTCTCTAGGAAGGAGGCAGGACTTGAGCAAACCGATATAGAATTTATTCCTGAGTTTGTGTACTCTTACCCGACTTATTTTTCTCTTTTTTTGTTTAAAATCATTTTTCAAGAGATAATTTCATTAACAAACCCCAAAAAAAAAAGAAAAAATAGTGAACACAAAACATATGAGCAAAAGGGCTATTAGCTCAGTGGCAGAACACGTCCCTACCTATTTATTTTTCTACCATCAAACTAATTATATTTCCTACCCATAGTAGTTTTATGGGGGAATTTTCTCTTTTTTCCCCATTTCTCTTTTATTTCTATGCTTCTTTTCTTTCTTTTCTCCTTTTCTTCTTTCTCGTTTTCCTCTTATTTTTTTCTCTTTTCTCCTTTCTATTCATTTATTTTTACCCAAATCGTATTATTGTTATTTTTACCATAACTTATTTCACACTCAATTTTGATTCCTTCTTTATTTTTTTTTCTTTTTATTTTTTTTCTTTATTTCTTGTTCCTTTTCTAATTCCATTTAACTCTTTTTTTTCTTTTTTCTTTCTTTATTTCTTGTTCCTTTTCTAAGAATCAACACGTGATTTTCATGCAAACCTTGATCTCATTCCCTACAAATATCAGTACACACTCTACCATTAGCACACAACCAATTATGGAGCAAGAAAACATAATCTACGGCCACCAAATCTCTATATATACTAGTTAGAATAGAAATGATAATAAAATATTGGGAAATGCAATAAAAGTATAAGTAGCAAAAAAGACTAGTAGTAACATATGATACCAATATGGTATACATGTATACCAACATGGTATATGATTGCTCTAGACTATTCCTACAACTATCTGCGACTATACTACTATACCAAAACATTAAAGGATGCAATAAAAGTATGAGAAAATTACATGCTCACATTGCAAGCTAAATATTCGCAAAGCAACTTGCTCATTCCGTATACTAACAGGGTATATAGTTGTATGGGGTTGTTCCAACAATTGCCTATAACTATAAAAACTATTACATAATACACATAATCTATGTCCGTCGGCACAAAAAAATTCCAGCACTACAAATCATGTTCATATAAATAATTTCAGAATAGAATTCACTTAAAAATGCAGCTAAAACAACCAAAAAAATATTCAGACTACCATATGATGCCAATATGACATATAACTATACGAACATGATATACAATTTTAATTCCTAATTCCCGGCAACTATATGACTATACTACTATTACATAACACACATGCATATAGAGAAAAATAAAAAAAAATGTACCACATATTAATATAATAAAGTATTTCAAGATATTGTACTATATTACTATTATTAAAAAAAATCAAATAGCGTATCAATTAAATGAAGCTAATACAACCAAAAAAAGATTCAACTAGCATATGATACCAATATAGTATATAGCTATACTAATAGGGTATATAGTTGTACGAGGTCGTTCCAACAACTGCATATAACTATAAAAACTATTACATATACACAAAATCTATGTCCATAGGTACAAGGAAATCCAACACAGCAAAACATGATCATATAAATCATTTCATAATAGAATTCACTTAAAAATGCAGCTAAAACAATCAAAAAATATTCCAACTACCATATGATACCAATATGACATATAATTATACCAATAGGGTATACAGTTTTACCAATTAATTCTAGGCAACTATATATGACTATACTACTATTACATAATACACATGCATTAAGAGAAAATTAAAAAATAGTGTACCACATATTAATATAATAATATATTTCAAGATATTGTACTATAATACTATTATATAAACCAAACGCTTAAAGAAAAAAATCAAAATGATTACATAATACACATGCATAAAGGAAAATTAAAAAAATTCAAGATACTGTACTATTATACTATTACTAAAGAAAAATCAAATAGTGTACCAATTAAATGTAGCTAATACAACCAAAAAAGGTTCCAACTAACATATGATACCAGTATAGTATATAGCTATGCCAACAGGGTATACAGTTGTACGCAAAGAGTTTAAATTTTTTTTAATTCAATTATTAAACACTCATTAGTTCTCTATGATACCCACGTGATATATATCATATGACGTTAGGATATCTTAGAGGACTGGTTCATTTTGCTTAAATTTAATATTTTAATTTTATAATATTCTTAGAAAATTTTACTTGTGAAAAAAATAAAAAAATAGATTCATATTTTAGATATAAATATAAAATATCTTTTGCGAAGTTCATACTGATTTGCTTAGCTTATCATCGAACCATATCAAATTTCAAGCACCGAAATCACAATTAAATTTTAAAAAATGACTCGAACAATGACAAAGAGTTACGAGAAAATATGAAATTTGTAGGGAGGGAGAGAGCATTTTGTGGCGATGAAAGGCATTCAATAGGTGATAATTTCATTCAACAAAAGAAAATTAAACTACATGCACGTAATGAGTTAATTGAATCGTAATTTGTACATATTGAGTAAACCTCTTTTGTTGTATACACAAAATCATCACATAATAAATAATTTAACTTAGAAAAATAAAAGCAACAACAAAGAGCGGAAATTGACGAAGAGAGAAATGAAACTATTTCTTACCTTGGATTGAAACAAGGGGAATTTATGGGGATTACCTATTAAACTTAAACTAATTATCCGGTTTTACCTATTTGAATAGTAATTACTAAATATACCTATTCCATATAAAATTATTACCCGTCTAGCCATAAAAGAAGTCTCTAAAGGCTTCAGGGGAAATAAATATATACCCAACCCACGCTTAATCTCCCTTGTTTCAGGGAGAATTTACGGGGACTGCCTATTAAACTTAAACTAATTATCCCGTTTTACCTATTTAAATATTAATTACTAACTATACCTATTCCATATAAAATTATTACCCGTCGAGCCATAAAGGAAGTCTCTAAAGACTTCAAGGGAAATGAGCATATACCCAACCCACACTTAATCTTCCTTGTTTCATGGGTGAATGACATAGTTACCCACAAAAATAAAACTATTTACCCTTACCTACCTATTTATTTTTCTACCCATCAAACTAATTACATTTCCTACCCATAGTAGTTTTTTTGGGGAATTTTCTCTTTTTTCTCCAATTCTTTTTTATTTCTATGCTTCTTTTCTTTCTTTTCTCCTTTTCTTTTTTCTCGTTCTCTTCTTATGTTTTTCTTTTTTCTCTTTTTCTATTCATTTTATTTTTGCCCAAATCATATTATTATTATTTTTACCATAACTTATTTCACACTCAATTTTGATTCCTTCTTTATTTTTTTTCTTTATTTCTTGTTCCTTTTCTAATTCCATTTAACTCTTTTTTTTCTTTTATTTTCTTTATTTCTTGTTCCTTTCTAAGAATCAACACGTGATTTTCATGCAAACCTTGATCTCCTTCCCTACAAATATCAGTACACACTCTACCATTAGCAGTAACAGAACCAGTTATGGAGCAAGAAAACATAATCTACGGCCACCAAATCTCTATATATACTAGTTAGAATAGAAATGATAATAAAATATTAGAAAATGCAATAAAAGTATAAGTATCAAAAAAGACTTGTAGTACCATATGATACCAATATGGTATACATGTATACCAACATGGTATATGATTGCTCTAGAATATTGCTACAACTATCTGCGACTATACTAATGTACCAAAACATTAAATGATGCAATAAAAGTATGAGAAAATTACATGCTCATATTGCAAGCTAAATATTCGCAAAGCAACTTGCTCATTCCGTATACAAACAGGGTATATAGTTGTATGAGGTCGTTCCAATAATTGCCTATAACTATAAAAACTATTACATAATACACATAATCTATGTCCATCGGCACATAATACAAATTCCAACATTGCTTATCATGTTCATATAAATAATTTCATAATAGAATTCACTTAATAATGCTGCTAAAACAACCAAAAAAGTTTTTAAACTACCATATGATGCTAATATGATATATAATTATACCAACATGGTATATAGTTTTACTTGTTAATTTCCGGCAACTATATGACTATACTACTATTACATAACACACATGCATATAGAGAAAAATAAAAAAATAGTGTACCACATATTAATATAATAAAGTATTTCAAGATATTATACTATATTACTATTATTAAAAGAAAATCAAATAGTGTACCAATTAAATGCAGCTAATACAACCAAAAAAGGATTCAACTAGCATATGATACCAATATATTATATAGCTATACTAATAGGGTATATAGTTGTATGAGGTCGTTCCAACAACTGCATATAACTATAAAAATTATTACATAATACACAAAATCTATGTCCATAGGTATAAAAAAATTCAACACAGCAAAACATGATCATATAGATCATTTCAGAATAGAATTCACTTAAAAATACAACTAAAACAATCGAAAAATATTTCAACTAACATATGATACCAATATGACATATAATTATACCAATAGGGTATACAATTTTGCCAATTAATTCTAGGCAACTATATATGACTATACTACTATTACATAATACACATGCATTAAGAGAAAATCAAAAAATAGTGTACCACATATTAATATAATAATATATTTCAAGATATTGTACTATAATACTATTATATAAACCAAACGCATAAAGAAAAAATCAAAATGATTACATAATACACATGCATAAAGGAAAATTTAAAAAATTCAAGATACTGTACTATTATACTATTACTAAAGAAAAATCAAACAGTGTACCAATTAAATGTAGCTAATACAACCAAAAAAGGTTCCAACTAACATATGATACCAGTATAGTATATA